GGATGCCAGTCCCCCTCAAGACAACACGATCTATTTCTTGACCGTAGGTCTCCCGCTGCTAAGCGGACTGATCTTGTCTCATCACATTAGAGGACTACCTTCAACTAAATGTTTCGATTAAGTAGTACGCTCTACGCAGTTCCATTCATAGGAAGCATACTTAGGAGGAATCCGGGTAAATATATGTGCTGGATGATGTGCAAAGCGTGGAGTGAGTGGTGTTTCTCTGGGTCTCCAAACCTTTTTGCCGTCATCACTGCCACTGCTGGATATTACTTCAGGCAAGACTGAACCTCAAGAGGGTCGTTCTGATTCTAATGTTTTCTTCAAACCACACTCGTTCTTTCGTTACGTTGGCAGTGTGTATACTGTTCTCTAGGTCATACTCGCTTGAGCTAACATTGGTACTTTCACTGTGGCTGTGATTGGAAGCTAATACAGTGAGCTCTCTTGCGGAGTCCTCAATACCGAAACTAATAACTCCTCCTATGCGTTTCCGCAGCCCTCATTGTGATGAATAGCTGTTTAGATGGCGGATGCATGAAGTACGTGAGTCGACAGCTTTTTCGCAAGTGAGCAATCACCACGTTGTTTCGCTTCCAGCAAGCACACACACCACCTAAACGCTATCACTCTGTCCTCGATCGTTTAGCATACTTATAAATGGGTTGTGTTTAGCTTATATCCGTGTATCGGCGTCTACCGGGACATCGTCTTGATCTTTTCAGCCTTCTAGCTGAGCAATGGAATTAACCATGCTCAATCATGCGTACGCCGTAAACGCATGTGGGACGAAAGACGACGGGGTAGGGGAAGGGGCTGTCCAAATTGGGAACATTGCTGGTATAGGTGAATGGGTAAACTAAGTGGAGCGTCAACCTGGACCGTAGCGAGTTCACTGGGCCGAAAACAGTCATCATCATCATCATTATACACATCAGCTAGAGGTGGGAAAAACACCTCCGCTATTGTGCCGCAATACATGAAGGAAATACATACATACATACATACAATACACAAAGGAGAAGTAGATACAACAGTTGCATGCCAGCTGAGCTACCAGCAACGGATAGGCATCGTTCCGGTAAGCTTCTAGCTAGCTACTAGGCAAAAAGAAAAAGAAAAAAATATTATGTTTTACCCTAGGAAATGAGATCGTAGATGGATGGGGAGGCTAAAAGGGATGGGGAGGGACAAAGAAACTCACAGCATGAACGCCACTGAGGTCGGCTCCTTGCCATGTCAGCAATTGTATCCAGCCAAACGTGTTCACCGTCTTTTGGACCCCAACCAGGGAGCCGTGAAGCTCCAACCGAGGCTAGCTCCGAGGTGAGGGACTTCATTCCCCTGGACCAAGTCATCGCTTGGCCACCTCTCCTCTTCTTCCACCCACATCCCCGGTGAGCAAACAACGCACGTCGCGGGAGTCGGTGGGCTGGCATGCGTAACACGTGGCCGAGCCATCGGAGCCTGGTGCGGGAAATAACGGTGCTGAGCGGTTCAGATCCTTTTCCTGGGCCGTAAACAATGCGTCGAACACGCTTGTTACTCACGCGGTGTTCCCACCAGATGTGAGCCAAACTGCGAAGGCACCGATGGTCGAACGTAAGTAGCCTCTTCATGTCCGCCGATCTTATGGGCCAGGTTTCGCAACCGTACAGTAAGGTCGAACGTACCGCTGCATTGTACACTCTACCCTTCAGGGCGAGAGTAATGTCGCGCCGCCGCCATAGGTGGCGAAGGTTAGCGAAAGCACTTCGAGCTTTCGCTATGCGGTTCGTGATCTCGTCTTCGATCCCAAGGGCGCTGATACAACTTCCCAGGTAATTGAATTTCTGAACGACTTCTAGCTGATCCCCACCAAGGGTCAGCGAAGGAGGCGATCCCGGCCAATCTAGGTGGAACGTTTTGCACTTCGATTGTGCAAAGCAAAGCCCGAAGCGGCTGACAGTCAGTGCTAATCTGTTCAGCGCCGCTTGGCACGTCTGGGAGCTGTCACAGATGAGGGCAATGTCATCTGCATACTCCAAGTCAAGAAGTCGTTCTCCTGGGAGTAGCTCCACACCTTCCAAGTCATGTCCTGTAAATGCAATCTCCATGACTTCGTCAATAGCGAAGTTGAATAGGAAAGGTGACAGCGGGCATCCTTGTCTCACACCACTGGAGATATTGAAGGGTGGCGACAGCTTGCCGTAAGTCCTCACTCTGCCCGTGCTACGCGCATATAATGCTTGGATAATATTTACATATTTCTCGGGCACACCTTTCCTGAGTAGACAATTCCAAAGTGCACATCGATCAACCGAATCGAAGGCACCTTTGATGTCGAGGAACACGACTAGGGTGGGCCGCCAATATGTGTGGCGGTGCTCCAACAACTGACGCAAGGTGAAGATGTGGTCAATGCAGCCACGACCACGACGAAACCCGGCTTGCTCCTCACGAATCTGGCTTTCACGAGCCCCAGTCAGTCTGTGAAGAATTATGGAGGCGAGTAATTTGGAGGCGATGGAGATCAGACTGATTCCTCTATGGTTGCCGCATTCCGAGCGCGAGCCGCCTTTGAAGATGGGAACAATAACGGAGCGGCTCCAGTCGGTTGGGACAGTCTCCTGCTCCCACAGTTTCACTAGTAATTCATGCAAAGCATCAACAAGAGCAGGGCCTCCGAATTTGAAGAGGGCTGGAGGAAGATCATCTGGTCCCTCGGCTTTGTTCAACTTCAACAGTCCGATCTCACGTTCGACTTCTGAGCGAGAGGGTGGATCCAAAGGGACAGCCCACGGAGCAGGGCGATCACTGACCGGCGAAGAATCGAACTATTCTAGCCGATTAAATTGCTTTTCAAAATGATCAGCCCAACGCTCCAAACCTTTTGACAAATTGTGGATAGGCTGTCCACTCTCATCACAAATTGTTTCACTAACACCAGGTCTCCTGCTGCCCGTTTCCCGTATCAGACGGAATAACTTACGATGGTTGCCAAGGGCAGCGGCCACTTCCATCTCTGACGCACGATGAGACCACCAAGATTCGCGGTCTCTCTTCAGGCTAGCACGGAGTTTTGCCCGGAGCTCTTTGCGAGTTTCATTGTGTTCGCTTCCAGCCGGGATATGCCGGCGAGCATCTATAAGTTCCAGAGACTGTGAAGAGACCCAATGTCCATGTTGTCTATTAGACATACCACATGAGGATTTGCCCGCTGCTAGTAAGGTCTGGCGAACATGTGACCAGTGACCATCAATTGTCTCCAGTGAGCGCTTACTCAACTCGCATGTCAGCGTACTTCGATACGCATTCAGAACAGCTGGCTTTGTCAGTTGGCTGGTGTCAATGCGCTCACAGCGTCGTCGTGGGCGTCCTCCAAAGCGCATCCGCATGTCAGCACATACAAGTGCATGATCAGTGTCCATACATGTGCTCCAAATCGAGCGACAATTCTGGATGCAGCCTCTCCAGCGGTAACTAATAGCAATGTGATCGATCTGCGTGCAAGGCTGGTTCGAGGCTGGTGGGCGCCAAGTCACCCTCCGGCGGGTGCTGTGTCGGAAATTAGTGCTCGCAAGAAATAAGCGAGCATCTTCACACAAATGAAGTAACCGCTCACCGTTATCATTACGGGAGCCTACACCGTGCTGACCGCCCAGATGAATTTCATCAGTGGACAACTTTCCAACTTGAGCGTTCATATCCCCCGCCAGAACAACAGTGTCCGTGCTTCTTCTGGGGCGAAGGAGCTGAGTCAGTTGGCGGTAGAAGTCGTTCTTTACCGAATCATCGCTACAGTTTGTGGGCGCGTAGGCAGCGATGATGAATAGACACCTGCTAGTTCCGCGCGACTTCGAAGCTTTAGAGGAGCCATCCAATCGGACCGCACACATCCGGCTACTGATTGGAATCCAATCAACCAGAGCAGCTTCAGCCCGGGGACTCAGAGCAATACCAACACCAGCTTGGCCGGTGCTCGAAGCTGCATCGTCACCGGATAGGTGCAATGAGAAAATACTGTTTGCGTCACCTGAAGGGGATCGCAGAGTGAGCACAGAGCTCGAGTCTTGCAGGCGGGTCTCTGATAAGCAGCAGATATCGATCGAGAGGGTCTCCAATGTTCGGGCAAGTGCTGCCTGTTGACCGATGTGTAGTAGTGTGCGTACATTAAGGCATGCCAATCTGAAGGAAAATCGAGGGCTCCAAATGGAAGCCGATGAACTGGAATGGACCGCTTGGTTAGACATGGGCTTGTCGACAGGAGAGGAGTGACGCTTCGCGTTCACATGTGAGTTGAAACTAGAAGATAAATGCCTAGCAAAGCATGTTAGGGGAGGGCCAAGAATCGGGGGGTTGAAAACTGGGGGGATATAAGTGAAGTTGGAATGGGACGGTAAGAGTGAAAAAGCGTAAGATGGGGAATAAGAAGACGGGAAGACTTGAGCAGTAGCATCCAAACCCCTATCCACCCTGCTCGATGCAGCAGATAGGGCACCGTTGATTATCCTCTGCGGTGGCCAGAGCATCAGCAATTTGTTTGAAGTGTGATTCATTGTATTGCGTGGGCAGGATACTGTCAGGTTGCCCAGGCTTGGACAGGAGAACGATTAGGGTTCTCAACCAAAGCCTTTGGTTCAAAAACCTGACCGCAAGGCAGCGGGTTTGGCGTTGGACTACAAGGAGTCCGTTGTAAGGAATAAGGTGCCACCCTCATTCCAACCCCCAACCTGGAGGACCAGGAGGCTGAGTTTGTCTGACCTCTAACCATTGACCAATCTGGTATGAGTGACTCTGAAGGTGCAAAAGCACCACCCAGCATAGCTCAATGGATCGCTGAGGCACACAAACCATCGCACCACGGTAAGGTCCAGCCTCATTGCGATGGGCCGAAAACAGTACGCCACAATGAAGCAGCTGTAGCCACCTTCCTCTGGATCGGTGTGCGCTGTTCCGTGAGCAACGTCTAGGCAGTCACTAGGCTAATATGGCTCACACAATGGCTTTGCTCAGTCTCACCTTGATGAGCAAGCACCTGTGGGTTTGAATGGATAGTGGGTACTGCAACGTGACTGATCCAATTCCCATGCGTAAATTGCTCCCAAACAGCCTGGGGTAACCACCGGCCCAGTAGTACTAGGACGGACCAGCTGATCTGGGTTTCTGTCACCTGGGGACACCCGCGCACGTATGAGCGGTTGGGTGTGAGTGCAAAAAGAGAGAAAATGCAGATAAACGCCGGGTTCTGTACAATCGCAACTCCACGTATCGCGACCGGTTTTATCCACATTTGAGCTCTTCTGGAAAATGTAGAAGAACACGAGCCCGGAAGCAGGGAGCTAGATGTTGCCGTGGACCTTACTTCGCAGGCTTTTCTCCACCAGAGAGAGCTTTCCAGAGAAGAACAAGCCGGTTTTCGCTACGGCTGAAGTAGCGTTGATCATATCTTCACGCTCCGACTAATTCTCGAGCTCCGCCACTTTCGACATCGAGCAACAATCGTAGTGTTCCTGGACACTCGCGCGGCATATGATTCAGTAGACAGAGCAGCTTTGCGGAATTGTCTGCTAAGGAAGGATGTGCCCGACAACTTTGTTACCATGCTGAGGAAGCTGTACAGTTATACGTCGGGCAAAATTAGGGCATTCGGCAGACTTTCCTCTTCATTTGCTGTCACCAGTGGCGCTGGGCAAGGTTGTCCCATTTCGCCTTTACTCTTCAATTTCGCCAACGATGTCGTGCAACGAAGGCTGGAAAGTGTTCCGTGTTGCTAGGTTTAGCTTCTCCCCGTCGCTAACATCGCAGACTTGGACTACGCCGATTAGATCCAATTGCTGGGTGACGATCTGCAAAACATCCGAAACACCTTGAAAGGCTTAGCGATTGAGGCATCCAATTCTGGCTTGTATTGCACCCCAACCAATTGTGAAGGGCCATTTCAGGATTGGCAGGGACCTGCCTCTGCGCTCACCATTGCTGGTGACATTCGGGAACAAGTGGATTGTTTCACTTATCTAGGGAATCGCACCATAGCTGGTGGCGGTTTGAGATGAGGTTTCACAGCGCATTGCGAAAACCCACTTTGCTTCCTCAAGCTGAGAAACCTATGGCGTCGTCGTGACGTCAGCTCAAGCTCAAGGGTAGGGTGCACAATGCTTCCGTCCGTCTGGTCCTGCTGCACGACCGTCAGACCCGGACAGTTCGCTCCTAAGACTTGAGACAACTGTCAGTTTTCGACAACCGTTGTCTCCGAAGGATCGCCTGTGTGTGGTGGTAATATCACATAAAAATATGGAGGTTTGTGAAAGAACGATTAGAGCGCACAGCCCCAATTTTCAACTCGTTTTTCTCCGACACTGTGCGCGTCAGCTGGGCCTCATACTGCGGATACCAGCCTGTCGCCTTCCCCGGCGAGAGTTATTTACGCTTCTCGGAAGCGATTGGGAAAAGTATCGCGGTGGACAACCAATGACGTGAAAAAGGAACCTACAGGAAGCAGCCGCAAGCCTAGCTTCAGTTAGATCAGTGCGCCTCCCAGGTTGGGGACCTCGTGACTAGGAATTCCTGTGGTTGCAAACGCTGGATGTGATGGTACGTAACAGATATCAGCAGCGCCAGTGTTGTACCGTTTTAGTAGTTGGTTACTCTCAAGTCCATATTTCTATATGTAAAAACCAACAAACTCAAAACGGCGTGTGTGTAACTAACAAAGAGCTCATTTTTCTTGTTTTCTTTCATGTGCCTTTGTCATCCATTTTGCCAACGTTCTAATGGCACGATGTCTCTATATAGACTTGTGAATATACATGCTGAGGCGGATGTAGCATCCATGATGCTTCTTCGGCGCAGTTGGGCTAAAGCAAATTATACTTAAACTAGGTCTTTTTAATGTCGATAAAATTCATTCCACTTTATTTGTTTCGTTCTGCTTACCTGAATAATCTATTATTAACTGGCCACCTAGCTTACGCTATTCGCGCTTATCTTCGGTAACGTTGTTGCGTTTCTAGCATTTTTGTGTAACTTGTGGGCATTTTTCACTTAGCACGGAGTGATTGCTAACCAACTTAATTCATATCCTAATTTAGGGTAGAGTTACGCCACCGCATCTGTATGCATTATTTGACTTATTTTATTTTATCTTGTTGTTTCAATGATTGGCTGTTGCTTGTTATCCCCGGTGTAGCTGCGCTCGATGTGAATGTTGCAAAGTGCCTATCTCTCTACTACCCACCACCTAATCATACTGGCTCCAGGAGACAGTTGGTCGTTGCTAGAGGGGACGTGTGCATAGTCCTTCTGGACGTGCTATGCGCGAACAGTGGTTCCATGCACCCAGTGTGGAACGAACTACGGTTCAACTACCGCCGTGTGCGTTTGATCCCCAAATACAGCGTGCTTGTGTTTGCATGTGAAGGAGTGTGTGCCGGCTCCGTTGATGAAGCGTGGCTCCCATCCACATACCTCCCGGTCTTATTCCTTCGGGTTTACACTGGATATGGGTGTGTGGATGGAGCTGTGAGTGGTGCATCGCAAGCCATCCATGGTCCCTCTGTAGGCGCAGGCGTCCTGTGGCTGTCCACAGTGACAGGCAAATCCGAAACCGGATGCCGCCAACCATAGTAGGTTGGATAAAGTGTGCGTGGTGGGTCTGTGTGTGGTACAACAAATTCCTATCTGGTATCGTCGAATACGCAAGGATTTCTAGTCTCAGTGTCAAGACACACAGAGGATGGATGGCACTAGCTACTGTTTTACGAGATACCATATGAATTTGTAAATTAAACAAGAGCTGAATATCAACATGCCACTTGACGGCATCGGTACTTTTGCGCTAAAGCTGTTAACCTCACCCATCTTTGTGTCAGCGATAGCAGTTCATCTGAGGGTCTGATGATCCATCGTGCCATCGGATTTATACCTTCTCACCCTTACCTTACTCAGCTGTTTCGTCAGAGTCGAAACAGATGGTTGTTAATGCTGCTGTTACTGCAACATTCATCTCAATGTGCTCTTCATGGGCAGGTCAACGTATAATCATTTTTTGATCCCCACGAGCGTATCCCCTATCCGGTGAAGTCCAATCAACGCTGACACATGCAAATAAAATGTGACAGTTACTAGCACCGAAAAGATGCCCTCGTACTAGTAAAACATAAGAAGATCACGAGTGTTGATGATATAGTTAATCTGAATTATGCGATCTTCAAGGGTCCGCGGAATTTGTTGTGGTCACCTCAAAAACAGCTGGAATAATCCATTCAACTCGCAGCCTGTTACAAATAGGTGCGTCTACTACGTATTGATAAGCGGACCCTGTGTGAAAGGTGCGGCTATGGCGAATGCATGAAGAAGTGCGACAGTAACAAATCCAAATTTTTGCCCCCAACGTAGTGCATTGGATGTTGGACAGATCTGTGCCTACCAGGCGACATATGAAGAAGTGGTGATGACACTCCACACATGTCTAGTAACGAATCGAACCTATCCGCATTAGGAGATTTAGGTTTGTTTCATACATTAATGGATAGTAAACACACAAGATGATTTCATGAAAATCGAGTCAGGAGCGTCAATCACACTACCTGATTACTTTCAAACATTCGTAAAAGCGAGACATCCAGTAGGTATTACAAAAGCACTGAGAGCATCGGGCTATGGGACCAACGTAAAGAATTAACTGTTATTTCACCCAGTCCTCAGCACTGATAGACCGTAGATTTTGAAATCCACATGATGGTTTACGGAGCCGTTAATGCTTACAAACGACTAATCGGATTCATTCATTCTTTTCACAATTAACTGACAGAAAATGGCAAATGTAATTATATCGCCACATCAGAACTGCTAATCTACCCGCGGTTACTGTTCAAAGGCAGCCGCATGAAGACTCGCGTTGAACAACGGTGTTCATATAGTAACGACACTCATTCCCTAAAGTTAAGTTTTACCTCTCACCCACATCAGCTGTGGGTAATTAATTGTCATCAATTATATTCAACAGTTTTCCCATTAATCCCTGTGTCTACCATTTCATTAATATCTAATGAAGCTGCTACACTCTGAGAACCGTCGTTTGTGAACCCTTTTGCCAGAAGCATACATGCAGTTCTTGCATAACCCACTGCCAGATAGCTATCATTGCGAGACGGGCTTGCGATAATGGTCAACAGATCTGCGTACACATTCTAATGCTAAAAAACACCCGAACTGCTTGAGTTTGTGAAAGTGATGGCGGTATCCTTCTATGTGGTCAAAGTATTCACTTGTCATTCATACACCGCCTAGAGTTTGTGTGTTGTGACCTCTTCGTTCGTTTGCATTTGTTCAGTTACTGGATAATATACTTAAATGATCTATATAACAGAATAGTTCCGTAGCCGGATCACAAGATTATATAATGTGTTGACGTACTCTGATAACATCCGCGTCGACCAACCCAACTGACATTGGAGATAAAAACGTTCTCTCTGCTTGCGATATTTTTACTGTTTCTATGTTGCATTAGAGCAAAGTTAACTCCAGGGCTCTTGACAATGATCCGCTTTTCGGACTCAAACTGGGTGCGTTCACAGAGAATAAAAATTACCACAGTGTAGTGTGCACGAATGACCGGTGGGGGCAGCCGGGCAACGCAAAGACGATAACTGCTCGTGCACTGCAGGCTAGCAACTCCAACCGGACGTGAAAGTGTCAATCTTCACCGCTAAGTTGCAGGTGAAAGCAACTCAATGGTCAGGCACGCACACATGAAGCGTGTACGCACGCATACAGACATCTGCTGGAGCATAGAATGCTGCGGTGAGTCTGCGCAGCATATGAAGATGAATTCGGTGTGCGAATCCCTGCAGATTGGCGGTCTATCAGTTTCAACCATCACCCAAACCGCACGTGTCACGCAGCAATGAGACGAGTATGCGGAATCAGTGAATGAGAAATAAACTGACCGAGTCAATGCTAAACAGTGTGAGGAGAGCGGAGCCAGTAAGATACCGTGAAATTTAAAGCACCTGCATGTGAACACATGCTAGTCTACTGCGACAGTTGAGTGAAATCCGATTTGTTCAACTCAAACAGCAGATGAACGTTATGATTTGTTATGATTTGTTTACCCTCCTTAGTCGCATACGCAATACATTTGAGTAATACATTGATGTATGTAGCTGTGGAAAGAAAGTACACGGGTACCTTAAAGCTAGACGATCACGACCAGAGCAATCTGATTGACTGGTTCAGTTGCTTTTGTGCGCATACTACCGGCCGGTTTACCGCAGTCAGTAATGCCTCACTGATTGTCAGC